ACACACACACACACACACACACACACACACACACACACACACACACACGTACGCACACACAGAGGGACCGGGAAAATCAAGACTGGCTCTGACAGTCTTCCTCCTTAGAAGGTCAACACCAAACTAAGGTGGAATGGAAATGTCAACATGGGGCTGGGCCACCAGCTGATGGAGACACCAGCTGATGTCTCCTCTGGAGAATTTTATCAATTAAGCTTAGTTTTCTTCCTTTCTAAAAATAAGACATCATTTTCCCTCTGCTTTTAGAAAGAGCTGCACCATTTATGGGGATGTAAGCTCCCAGCTGGGAGGACACTGCACAAGGAAAAATGCAGCTGTGAGCACCATGAATGCCTTTAGCATCTGTTCTGGTTGTTGCCGATTCTTATCCACTTCTCTATCCCTCCCCTACTCCAATTTCTCCTTTTGTTTTCTCATAGGACACAGGTGGTTTGTAAATAGTGACAGTGACCGTATCCCGGTTCATGTCCCTGGGTAACACTCACTAACCTACATGCCCAGCCACACAGAGAGAGAACACAGGCAGTGGCGTGGACTTGGATGTCTGAGCCTAATTTGCTTGTAGATTTTCTGTCATCAGTTTGATAGTCAAGTTCATCTTCCAGCAGGTGCAGGAGAACACTAATCTTGTCTTCTGTCAAGCACTGCAAAGAAACCGAGGTTAAAAATCAACTCCAAGTTTCAGCCTCCATAGGAAGAAAACGCACAATAATGCACCTAGACTGGGGAAGACCATGACTCGGAGGCAGCATCTTCACAGAGAAAACATGTTCTAGGTCAGGACTAAGGTATCACACAAGATTCCTAAATTGCTGACTGAAAAATGTAGCAGTCTTCCTTTAAGTATTAGATGGCTTTTAATTTTCCAATTGTAGATTTGATCTGAAACTCGTGACTTTCAAACCCAAACACAATAAAAAGACTACTATTTATGTCTTGACCTAACACTGAATTTACTCTTGACAAAACAAACTTGACAGCATTAATTTTTGGCCTGTGGATAATAAGGCACTATGAATCCTGGGGTGGGGGTGGGGCTGCCTTGGTGAAGGTCAGGTTGACACTTATAAGAACAAACAGAGGTGAACTGCTTGTGCTAAAAGCCCTAACAGTGCCAACTCAAAGAAGCAAAAGATCAGTTTGTTTGTTTTTTTTTTTTTTTTGGTGGGGGTGGGGTTCGAGACAGGTTTTCTCTGTGTAGTCCTGGAAAAGATCAGTTTTTTCTGCCTACCATATAGTGTATCTTCACAAGACTCACGGGCTGGTAAAATGACAGTAAATATTCAACTTCAGAGAGGAAATGAAACACAACTACATTTCTATTCATCAAGGAAGAATTTCTTGTCCTGTCACAGCTTGGAAAATGATATGCAATGAGCAGTTTGAATAACAAATCAAAATAAAATTGAATTTGTAGGGCCAGATGTGGGGGCACAGGCCTTTAATGCCAGCACTCCGTAGGTAGAGGAAGGTGAATCTCTGAATTCCAGGGCAACCTGGTTCACATAGTAAGTTCTAGGTCAGCCAGAACTACACAGTGAGACCCTGTCTCCAAAAGTTTACTTAAAGATCCCTATCCAATTGTTCAAACAGAAATCATTTACTCACACCCTCTACTACTGCCTTTCTGGAAGAAACTGAAGTCAAAAGAGGGAGAAGTAATTTTCTTCACGACGCTCAGCACCCTCTGTCAGTCAAATGAAGGATTGTGTACAAAAGCTGGTGGTGCCGGACTGGAGGCCACTGCAACGTAGCCAAGAAACACTCACCATAGTTTTCAAGTCATCAGGCCTCAGGGAAGGAAGTTGGAGGTCCAAATGACAAAGGCTTTGAAATCTGTCCAGGAACTCACTGACAAGAACAGCAGGCTCACCCAATGGCAACATCCCAAATCTATCTGTGGGAAAATAAACTGGGAGTCAGATGGAGGAGTAAAGGAAGAACATGAACTGAGCAAGTGAGATATGTAACATGGATAGTTGATGATATTAAGAAACCATTGTTTTACAGATGAACTCAGAGACCTGAACAGGTTCAAACCAGACAAAATCCAGCTCTAAGAAGAGGACACAAAGTCCCACTCCTAACCAAAAAGCTACTTGTAACTGATGGCTGATGGGAAAGCAAAGGGGTGTATGTGTGTGTGTATGGGGCGGGGGGAATGTGAGCTTCTAAGCAACGCAGAGTGTGGAGGTGTACAAACACTGAAGAAACAAGACTGTCTAGAAGCAGGGGTGAAGAGTGAAATCCCAGAGAAACCCTTTCTTAAGGGGAGGGTGGAGAAGAGTGTAGCTCTTCCTTCATGGCCAAAGACCTGGTTTCCATTCCCAGACTTACTGGGGAAAAAACCCAATGGGCTAAAAATTGATAATTACTCAAGTAGTTGACAGGTGAACAGCATTTAATTATAAACTATTCTTTGTGCTTCTATGAATGTATGCAACAGTTACTTCAAGAAAAGTCAGAGGAAGAATTAAAACAAATACTGAAGCTTTGATTTACTAGACAGAAATTAAAGAAACAGTATTTTATAAGAATTATCAAGTTGTAGATAGTTCACTGTGAGTTGTTGAGGTAGAAGGTAAATTCCTATTGTTGAAGACATCATGTACATCAGACACAGGACCCAGAGACACAAGCTACATCTGACTCGAATGCTTCCCCCTTGAATGTGCCACACAAGCTTCCAAAGAAATGAAGCAACCATCAGTCCTACTCAGCTGTGACGCTGCCTGTGAACCACAGAATGACTGCATGGACCAAACCCTAAGAGAAGAACAGCAGCACACAGCCTGGTGGACCATCAACAGTTCAAGGCCGGCTCAACAAGAAGGAAATCACGCCTGGTACTAGAAACCTAGCCAAATACCCAGGGCTAGTGAATTCATAACTCTTGGAAGGGAACCTACAACTGCCATTTAACAAAACCAGCACAATAACCAACTATATTCTCACTACTTGTCCTCATACCCACAGGAAAATGTAACACTCCCTCTTCCTCAAGGAAAGCCTCTGCAACAGACAAAACCACGCTCTATCAAAACGCTGAGTTGTAGAGCCCACTCCCAACTGATATATCTACAACACTGTTCCTACGGCTAAGGGATCACTTCTGAAAAGGAAGAAGACTGCAAAAGACAGAACAGAAATTTACCATGGATTGTGTCTAGAAACCTAGAAACCTCAGAGAAGATACATCGCCAACATGGATGCCTAAACAAGATCTGAACAAGGACAACTCCAACAGACATGCTAACAAAGAAGGGGCAACGACCAGGAAGCCTCAACCCTTCACAGAGAACGAACTACAGGCAGCTAAGGAATGCTGAGAACAGGAGACAGTCTTTCCCAGGGAAGAACACACTTACTGGTTATACAACAGCAAATGGTCAGACCTGAAAGCATATACATAAAAGTAACATTATACAGGCTGAGCAGGTTGTATTATATATTTAGGAATACATACATGCATGCATGTACCAACAATTAGAGAAAAAGAGGCCATGAATTTGGAAAAAGAAAGGAGGGAACATGGGAAGGGTGGGAGGGAGGAATGAGAAAGCAGTAAATGTTATAATTATATTATAATCTCAAAAAACTATCATAAAAAGTTGTAGGCTGTGAAAACAGCTCAAGTAGTAAAGTACTGTGCCAGCATGAGGCCTGAATTTGGATCTGGTTCCCAGGTTAAAAAGCCACACATGGGGCTGGAGCTTGCAGGGGTCCTGAGTTTTGTTCCCAGAACTCACATGGTGGCTCATAACTTTCTGTAAGTCCAGTTCCAGAGGATCCAATGCCTTCTTTTGGCTTCTTTGGGCACTAGGCACATACATGGTAAACAGGTATGCATGCAGGCAAAACATCCAGACATGCAAAATCTTACAAATAATCAATAAAAAAATTAAAAAAAAAAAAAATAAAAATACAAGCTGGGCAGAGAGGTGTACACTTGTAATCTAAATGCTCCAGGGGTTGAGGCAGGAGGATTGGCTCAAATTCAGAGACAGTCTGAGTTACATGAGACTTTAAAAACAAAAATCCCAAAAAACAACAACAAACTAAGAATGGCAGAGGCAGCAGAGAGCCACTGTGCATCTGCAATCCCTGAACTTGCACTGTGTCAAGTTCAAGACAGCCTAGTCTACACAGTAAGCTCCGGGCCAACCAGCCAGAACGACATGTCAGACTCTTTCAAAACCTGAAACCAAGCGGTAAGCATTACTTACTTCCCAGTGCCCTGATCCCTTGTAGGGAATTCAATAAGTTATTCTTCAAAATGAAACGCAGAAAAATATTTGTAAGGCGGTGTTTGAAACAGATCTTCATACTGTCGCTCAGACTGGCCTCAAGCGAACAGCAATGCTCTTGTGCCCCCACATGCTGGGGAAATACATTTAGGAAGTGAGACACCACAGAAAAAAGATGAAGAAAGAAACGGGCCTCCCAATCTGGTTAATTAAAGAGCAGGGCACCAACAAGGTTTACAATAAGCTTAAATATGCTTTAGAATTAATCTATTTGTTTATTGGGCCTGTGTATATCTTCAAAATATTCAGCCCTAGTAAATTTGTAACTGTCACTTAAAATATTGAAAGGGATTTTATTTATTAGTAATAAATATTAGAAAAGTTACCATAAAAACTGTACTGATGAGCCAGTTCATGGTGGCACAGGCCGGCAATGTCAGGCCTCAGAAGGGATAGGAAGAGGAGGAGTCCAAGGCGATCTTGTCAGCTGCATGGAGGCCTTATGGCCTGCCTAGACTATGACATTCTAGTTCAAGAACCAAAACAATAAATCCCAACAAGTTATATTTACTGGAAATGTGTAGTAAATTAGGCCTTGGAGTATAAATAAGTATAGGTATTCCTTTTTCTGAATAAAAGTGACCTGAATATTAAAAGCAAAACAGATGTAGGAGGAAGAATAAGGACAAAGCTGGTAATGATAAGAAAAAACATCTAAAGCTATGTATGCTAGCTCATTCCTTTAAGTCCAGCACTTGTGGCATTATAGCAGAGATTACCAAGAGGTCAAGGCTACCCTAGCTACACAGTGAGTCAAGGCAGACTACAGAGGAGACAATCTGAGCTACAAAAAAGACCCTGCTTCAAATAAACATAACAAAACCAAAGCCTAGCTGGGTGTAGTGAGTGGCACAAGCCTTTAATCCTAGCACTCAGGAGGCAAAAGCAGAAAGGTCTCTATAGTTCAAGGCCAGCCTGGTCTACATAGTGAGTTCTAAAGATAGCCAGAGCTACATAGTAAGACCTTGTCTTGAAAAATCCAAACCAACCAATCAACCAACCAAACAACTAACAGGAATGGTTATGGCTAGAAAGACGGCTTGGCAGTAAAGAGTGCTCACTGGTCTTGCAGAGGACCAGGGTTTGGTAAGGGTTTGGTTCCCAGCATCACATGATGGGTCACAGCTGCCTGTAACTTCAGTTTCAGGGCATCTAGTGCCTAGCCTGACCTCCCAGGGCTCTTGCACACATGTAGTATACTACATGCACTTAGGTACACACATACACACACACACACACACACACACACACACACACACACTATTTTAAAATCAGGCTGGGCAGTGGCACGCCTTTAATCCCAGCACTTGGGAGGCAGAGGCAGGCGGATTTCTGAGTTTGAGGCCAGCCTGGTCTACAGAGTTAGTTCCAGGACAGCCAGGGCTACACAGAGAAACCCTGTCTCAAAATACAAAAACAAATCAAAAACAAAACAAACAAACAAAAAAGCATAAAAGATATTAAAACAACTTCCAGATTTCTGGCGATAACTGGATGGGAAGGTCAAGGCAAACCTAAAGATATTAGATAATTTAGCTTTGCACTGCTGAGTTCAGGTACCTCTTATAATATTAAGCAGAAATGCTGATCAGGTAGTTGAAAATGAGTCACACTCAAAGAGGTCTAGCTAGGAATTAGAGGTTCTTCAAGGAGAGTCCAGTTGTGAATGGATCTAGAAAACAGAGCATACAATAACAAGAGCTGGGACCACCAACAGCTCTCTGGGCACATGCTAAAAAGAGCCTAGGTGACTGGCCAGACATAACCTCAATCCACACAGGACTGAGCTGTGCTATATTATACAGGGGAAAGGAAAATAGGCCAGAGGGGCTGGAGAGATGGCTTAGAGGTTGGGAGCATGTCTGCTCTTCCAGAGGTCCCAAGTTCTATTCCCAGCAATCGCACAGTGGCTCACAACCATCTGTAATGAGATCTGATGCCCTCTTCTGGTGTGTCTGAAGACAGATACAGTGTACTCATATACATAAAATAAATAAATAAATAAATAAATAAATCTTAAAAATACCCAAACAGGCCAGAGATGGAAAATTCCTGTTTTACAGTTACTTTCTCTTTAAAATTTTCATCAGGATAGAGAAATGTAGTCACTTCTGTTAGGTTTTGTTGGTCATGGAATATTCCTAGCCACAGTGACCTTGGAATCAGCTTGAGCCATCCTACTAAAAACAAAACAATACACCTAGACTGTACTGACTAGCAGTCAGAACATACATGAACAACCAGCACTGTTAGGAAACCTGGGGTCTGAGGAAGTTTGTACCTGGACTTGGAGAGATTCCACACCAGAGGGCTCTGCTGTTAAATGTTTGCTTAGCAGAGATGTGCCAGCTGAACAAGAGAATGCCTAAAACTTCCAGCTGAGGCCCAGTGAGGGTTCAGTGAGTAAAGATACATACTACCAAATCCATCTGGGTCAATCCCTGAGAACTGGAACGGGAACACGCCATGTGGGTTCTATCCCAAATGGTGGAGAGGAGAGAAAAGCCTTCTCTAAGTTCATCTGCTCGATATGTGTTCTAGTAGACACACACACACACACACACACACACACACACACACACACACACTTTCTCTCAAGAGCTGGTGGGACAAATGTACCTGGAAAAGATAATAAATCCAAGTCTAGAAAAGCACAAAAAGAAAAAAGCAACTTCAAAGATTTGATGTTCACAAGAAAATGTGCAGTACTAATTAGAAACATGAAGACCCAGGAGAATGGAAATCCCTAGAATGTGTACCTGGAGACGGGCTGTCTGGCCAAAAGCAGAACTTCTCATGGGCACTGCACAGGGATTTCTTGAGCTCGGCACAACGTTCCTTATCTGAAAGCACAGGAGGTAGCAGCTATTATACACTATGCAGACTCCAAACTAAAAAAAAAGCCAAGAGTCTTTTAGAGACCAAACCTAACCACGTATACATCTAAATAATTAGGATACCTCAAAAAATATGGAAATAGGCTGAGTGTGGTGGCATATACCTTTAATCCTAGCACTCAGAGAAACCTTGTCTCTAAAAACAAAGATTCGCTGGGCAGTGGTGATACACGCCTTTAACCCCAGCACTTGGGAGGCAGAGGCAGGCGGATTTCTGAGTTCAAGGCTAGCTTGGTCTACAGTGAGTTCCAGGACAGCCAGGGCTACACAGAGAAACCCTGTCTCGAAAAACAAACAAACAATAAATAAAAACAAGGATTCTTTGTTAGTGCAAAGAAGGTAGTCTGTGCAACTTGGAAGGTAGGGATTTCCAAATCTCGGGCCTTCAGAATGTTCTCTTTGAAAATCTAAATTTGGGATTAAAAAGTAAACATACTGCTGTTGATCTAAAACACACAAAATCAAGTCCACTGCAGAGAACAATGGGACCATAAGGCGAAGACCACCGCAACCTCACCGTGTCCTATGTAAAACAGCACATTATTTGTTGAGACAGACGGCCAGTCCAGCAGCCTGCACATACCAGGCAAGTGCTCTACCACTGACTATGTCACCAGCTCCAGTGTATCTGCAATGTGGAGGAAAATGTAAGCTGGACTTGATACTTACATCTCCCAAAGTCAAAAGTGGGCTGCAGACTGGCACAGAGGAAAGCCTGGCAGCTGGAGCACTTGAGCATGTCACATTCAACTGTGACCCAACCATATTTTGCGCAGATAAGTGGAGACAGCTCAGGGGGCTTCCCTGCCCATTTCAAAGAGTACTCATGTTAAGGAAAACCATGTATATGAAGACCAAGCACAATTAAAACTTAGCAGACAGGAATACACTCATTAAACTCAGACAGTAAAGAAAATGGCAAGGTCTTTTAGTTTTTCTGTGTATGTATTGTAGACATGCATACGTGTACGTTCGAATGTATGGGGATACACATGTATGTGGAAGCCCGAGGCTGAGATCCGGTGTCTTCAATCGGGTGTCCCACTTTATATACTGAGGCAGAAGTGTGTCTTTGAACCTGGAGTTGGTCATTTTAGCTAGTCTGGTGGGGGCTGGACGGATGGCTCAGAGGTTATGTGCACTTGATGCTCATGCTAGGGCTCGGGTTCAGTTTTCAGTACCTACACAGTAGCTCACAAATCATCTGTAACTCCAGTTCCAGGGGTTCCTTTACCTTCTTCTGATGTCAGTGGACACCAGGCACACATATGATAGCCATGGTGCATAGACATTCATGCTGGCTAGCCAGCTAGCTACAGGGATCCCGCTTCTGCTTCCTGATTGCTGGGGTTACTGGTACACTGCCATTTTTACCGGCTTTTATGTGTGGTCTGGGATCCCAACTCTGGTCTTCATGCTTGTGCAGCAACTCTTTCATCCAGAGCCTTGTTTCTCCCTAGCCTCTCAGTATTTTTGGAGTAGAGTTCAATCTGTAGCCCAGGCAGGCCTCAAACTCCTGAAAATCCTTCTAGATTAAAGATGTGAGACACTATTCCATCTACTAAAGATCATTTTTTTGTTTTTATTATTATTATTTTGGTTTTTTGAGACAGGGTTTCTCTGTGTAGTTCTGGCTGTCCTGGAACTCACTCTGTAGACCAGGCTAGCCTCGAACTCAGAAATCTGCCTGCCTCTGCCTCCCAAGTGCTGGGATTAAAGGCATGCACCACCACTGCCTGGCCATTTTTTTTTTTTTAATTTAAGATTTTTTTTTTTTTTTTGGTTTTTTGAGACAGGGTTTCTCTGTGTAGTTCTGGCTGTCCTGGAACTCACTCTGTAGACCAGGCTGGCTTTGAACTCAGAAATCCGCCCGCCTCTGCCTCCCAAGAAGATTTTTTTTTTAAAGATTTACATTACATGTGTTTTGGCTGCAAGTATGTTTGTACACTGTGTGTGTGCAGTGTCCAGAGGCCAGAAGGAAGCATTGTATGCCCTATAACTGGTATTAAAGATGGTTATAAACTGCCATGTAGGTGCTGGGCTTCAAACTCAGATCCTCTGGAAGAGGGGTCAGGGTTCTTTACTACTAAGCATCTCTCCAGCCTCAGGGCCATTTTTAAAGTACAAACTTTGCAGGATGCTAGTCATGAGTAAGAAGCAGAGGGTAAAAATTATGACCTTTTGTCGAGGAAAACTCAACCGGTTTACAGCACGCCAATTGTTCTAGCTACTACTAACTGATGGCAATTTGGATCCACAAAGACAAGACTATCCTGCACAGCACAGTGAGAATCTATCTTTTATTTTTTTTTATTTTTTTTTTTTTTTTAAAGATTTATTTATTTTATTAATGTGAATACACAGTTGCTGTGATCAGACATACCAGAAGAGGGCATCAGATCCCATTACAGATGGTTGTGAGCCACCATGTGGTTGCTGGGAATTGAACTCAGGACCTCTGGAAGAGCAATCAGTGCTCTTAACCACTGAGCCATCTCTCCAGCCCGAGAATCTATCTTTTAAAAATGAAAATGTAGTTTCAAGTTGAGTGTGCCAGTGTACACCCTTAATCTCAACACTTGGAAGGCAGAGACAGGAAGATCTCTGAGTCTGAGGTCAGTCTGGTCTATAAGGAGTTCCAATATACCCAGGTCTACACAACAGAGAGACTCTATCTCAAATAAAGAAAAAAATACTTTTAAGTATGTGTATATGTATAGGTCAGTAATGGGTATGTACACGTGAATGCTAGTGCCTCCCAGGCCAGAGGAATTGGGTTGGATCCCTGTAGCTAGATTTAAGGCAACTGTGAGTTGCCTGAGCAGCAAGTACTCTTTCTTTCTTTGGTATCTTATTTTATTTTATTTGAGACAGAGTCTCTCTCTAGCCCTGGCTGTCCTGGAACTCACTCTGTAGACCAGGCTGGCCTCAAACTTGGAGATCCACCTGCCTCTGCATCCAAAGTGCTAGGATTAAAGGTGTGCACCACCTCCCTGTGGTTTTTTTCTCTTTTTTTCTGTTTTGGCAGCAAATACTTTTAAAGACTGAGAGCCACACTTCTTCTCTATTTCTCTGGTATTTCTTTGGTATTTAAGAACCCATCTTTAAAAAACACAACGTAAAACTTTTTTTATTACCATCTGTGTGGTAGAATACAGAAGCTGTCTGCTTGTATTTAATCTGCAATACTAGGGATTGAGACTGCTGGTCAGAGCCCTGGATCAGATGCACCTAAGCAACAAAGGACCATCAAGTCAAAAAGGCTGAGATGTTTCTACACTTGACTGTGTTCTCCTAACTTACCACATCCCTTACTTTCTAATATGGAGAAAAGAATCTTAGCTATTCTCCACCCCAAGGTTTTTTAAAGAATTATTTATTTAATGTATATGAATATACTATAGCTGTCTTCAGACACACCAGAAGAGGGCATCAGATCCCATTACAGATGGCTGTGAGCCACCATGTGGTTGCTAGGAATTGAACTCAGGGCCTCTGGAGGACAGACAGTTGGTGCTCTTAATCACTGAGCCATTTCTCCAGCCCCTTTACCCCAAGTTTAATTATGATGGACTATATGCTAAATTAGTACTTTCAAAGTACTCTGCTAAAGACTTACAAGAGCAGAGTAGGCAACTGGTAATTCCTATAGTCCCTGCTTACTGGTACTATGGACTGAGGTAACTTCCTCATGAATGAGCTAGCCTGGTAATGTTTTAATAATCAGATTATGGCAAAAAGTGATGGGCTATCTTCTGGGATTAGGTTACAAAAATGAGTCTGAGGCCAGTGGGGCGGCTCAGTGGGTAAAGTGTCTGCTGCTAAGCCTAATTCTCTGCTTGTCCCTGGGACCCCCATGATGACAGGAGAGAAGAGACTCCCAACTCCCACAAGTTGTCCTCTGACTTCCAAATATGCACCAAAGCACACATACTAAATAAGTAAACATAATAAAAAGTTAAATTTAAAAAGAATATTTAATGCTAAACATGGAAACACACACCTTGAATCATAGTGCTTGGGAAGCAGAGGCAGGCAGATCTCTGAGCTTAGGGTCAGACACAATAGTGAGACCCTGTCTCAAAAACAAAACAGAACAAAATAAAACATTGAACAAAAAATAATCTGGCTTTCACCTGTTTTGCTTGTTCACTGTGATGGAAGCCAGCTTCCAAGTTGTGAACCGTTCCGAAAGAGCCCATGCAATAAGGAACCACGGCACCTGTAATCCCCACATCAGAGAGGCAAAGGCAGAGAGGCAAAGGCAGGAAAATCATGATCTCAAAGCCATCAAGGGCTATATAATAAATTCTACATCAACTTGGGCTACATAGTTAAGACTGTCTAGAGGGCTGGAAAGATGGCTCAGCGGTTAAGATCGCTGACTGCTCTTCCAGAGGTCCTGAGTTCAATTCCCAGCAACCACATGGTGGCTCACAATCGTCTGTAACGGGGATGTCATCTGGTTTGTCTGAACACAGTGACAGTATATCCACATACATGAAATAAATAAATAAATAAATAAATAAATAAATAAATAAATAAAATAAAGGACCCTGCCCAGAAAAACAAAAACAAACACACACAGGCTGGAGAGATGCTTGGGAGCCACTGGAGCACCCGTGGCTGCTTTTCCAGAGGACCCAAGTTTGGATCCCAGAACACATGTCTGGAGGCCTGTAACTCTTGCCCTAGATCTGATACCTTCCTCTAGCCTCCTTGGACATTCCCCAACCCCAAATGGCATACACAACAAACAAATGCATAAATTATAAAACAAACAACCACCACCAGCAACAACAAAAACAAAATAAACCTACTCTGTGTCTAGACATAATCTACTGAGTTTGTGTAATAGTTGTTTAAAGCCGCTGCATATTAGAGCGTTTGTCATGTAATAGTGACTAAAACACAAAAGGTATCTAGAAGCCACACAGTGGAGCTGCATGCCTTTAACCCTAGCACGAGGGAGGTGGAAGCTGGTGGATTCTGAGTTCTAAGACAGCCTGGAGAGGCAAGCGGATTTCTTAGTTTGAGGCCAGTCTGGTCTACAGAGTGAGTTCCAGGACAGCCAGAACTACACAGAGAAACCCTGTCTCAAAAAACCAAAAAAAAAAAAAAAAAAGAAACTCTTAAAAAAAAGGGCCAGGTGGTGGTGGCGCACGCCTTTAATCCCAGCACTTGGGAGGCAGAGGCAGGTGGATTTCTGAGTTCGAGGCCAGCCTGGTCTACAGAGTGAGTTCCAGGACAGCCAGGGCTACACAGAGAAACCCTGTCTCAAAAAAACAAAAACCAAACCAAACAAAAAACCCAAACCCAGAAACAAACAAAAAAGATTTGATCTATCCCTCGATGGATACTTTGCAGAATAATATATTATGGTTCTAATTTTCAGAAAAAAAGTTCTTACCAATACTAATTCTTTGGTTTAAAAGATCAGAGTAAGGGGCTGGAGAGACAGCTCAACAGTTAAGAGCCTGGCTACTCTTCCAGATCAACTGCTAGCACGCACATGGTGGGTAACAACAAGCTGTAACTCATCCTAGGGATCTGATGCTCTCTTTGGACTCCTTGGGCACTGCATGTACATGGTTCACAAACATACAGGCAAAAAACATACACACATCAAACAAAAGATCAGAGTAAGCAGTATCTATACGCTACTGCTCAGTATAGCAGTGCCTCTCTAGTAACAATTGTGCGGCAGGTGGAACCACTTACACACTCACACATGTTGGGAGCCGACTCCCAGCAGAAAGCGGCTATCCTCTTTGCAGCCATCTCGAGCCATATACTCTGACAAGAGACTTGTTTTCAACAGCCCACAACAGCTGAGCACACTCTGATAAACATCTTGTTTTTCTCACATATCTTGTTTTGTTGTTTAGTGCCACCAGCTGCAAGGCCCACGTGGTAAAGTGTCTTCAGCTGCACGCCCCTGCTTGTGCATATATATACCCAGGATTTCCTTTCAGTAAAGGGGACTTGAACAGACTCTGTCTTGTCTCCATTCTTCGAGTCTCTTGCCCCTCCATCCCCACTCTCTCTCTTGCTAGACCCTGACCCGCAGACTGGAGCAACAGCTAGGGCCGGGAGCCCAAGCTCTGAAACGTGACCCAAACGTTAGTGGCCCCCAAATGTGGGGCAAAACGGGCTGTTACACACACACACTGAAAAGGATATAGAAAAGGTTTCCACTCTGTGAAAAAAGGCTTCTTTGCTCGTAGATTCCGATGGAGGCTGTTCTGCTTGAGGCGCTCCATCGACTGACTGGATTGTGGCAGACATATCCTTTCTGAAACCAAGTAGGACTGTTAGTGAGCTCTGTACCATTCTTTTTTTTTTTTGGTTTTTCGAGATAGGGTTTCTCTGTGTAGCCCTGGCTGTCCTGGAACTCACTCTGTAGACCAGGCTAGCCTCGAACTCTCGAACTCAGAAATCCACCTGCCTCTGCCTCCCAAGTGCTGGGATTAAAGGCGTGCGCCACCACCGCCCGACTGTATCATTCTTCTTAAATCTCTGAGCCTAGCTGTTCCACACACACCATAATATCAAACCTGAACTAGATTTTTTTTTTTTTTTTTTTTTGGGTTTTTCGAGACAGGGTTTCTCTGAGTAGCCCTGGCTGTCCTGGAACTCACTCTGTAGACCAGGCTAGCCTCGAACTCTCGAACTCAGAAATCCGCCTGCCTCTGCCTCCCAAGTGCTGGGATTAAAGGCGTGCGCCACCACCGCCCGGCCCTGAACTAGATTTTAAGTTTCTAAAAACCATTTCAGTCAAGCCATTCCTCTGCTTAATATATTCCATGACTTCATAATACGAAATTATAGGCTCTAAATTTTTCAATCTGGGAGTCATAACTCTAAACAGTTTAGCCAGCCTCTCCTAGCTTATTCACAGTTCTCCAACAATATTTTGCATAACTTTAGTAAATACAAAATAAGGCCTTCAAGGGTTTAAGTATTGAATAATAATACAATTTAAACCACTTCAGAGAAATAATTTTTTTTTCTTTTTTGACAAAGAGTCTCACTTTATAACTCAGGCTAGCCTGGAATTCACAGCAATCCTCCTGTCTCAGCTTCTTAAGTGTCGAGATTACTACTTTGGGTAATATGTGTGTGTACATGTGTGAATGTATGTATCCAGGCACATGTATAGAAACCAGAGAAGAACTTTGTGGACTCAGATCTTTTCTCCGACATTTATGTGGGTTCAAGGGTTGAACTCAGGTCACCAGGCTTGCACCTTTACCTGATAAGCCATCCTGATGGTCCATAAATTTAACTCTCAGTATGAGAAAGAATAGCTTAGATATATTGTTATGTACATGGACCCTTGTTTCTCACTACCTCAATTAGAAAATTCAAGTCATGAGCTGGAGAGATGGCTCAGTGGTTAAGAGCACTGACTACTCTTCCAGAGGTCCTGAGTTCAATTCCCAGTCAACCACTTAATAGCTCACAACCACCTGTAATGGGATCTGAGGCCCTCTTCTGGTGTGTCTGAAGACAGCTACAGTGTGTACTCACATGCGTAACATAAATAAATCTTTAGAAGAGAAAATTCAAATCAAAGACAGGACCTTTCCATTTCAAGAAGAAACGTGAGAAAAATACAATTTAAAAGAAAACCGAATACAAAGCCAGCCAACTCATTCTTTCACTTTCAGTGAAAAAAAAATTTGGAATTACCTTACTATATAGAGACTAGCCATAAGTTCTGTGACTCTAGAGAACCCTGACTAATACATCTATTGAGCCATTTTTTCCCCCAGTTTTGTTTGTTTGAGACATAGTTTTTCCTCTCTGGCTGTCCTGGAACTCACTCTGTAGACTAGGCTGGCCTTGAACTCAGGGATCTGCCTGCCTTTGCCTCTGAGTGCTGGCACTAACAGCAAGTGCCACTAGTACCACCACCCATCTTTTCTACTGTGTCATCCTGAATATCCCTGGTTTTGTTTTGAGAGATAGGGTCTCATTTTGTAACTTAGGCTGGTCCTGGAACAATATACAACAAGCTGATCCGAAATTTACAGCACTCTCCTCTCTTCAAATGTTCAAGCACCAGCATTACCACCATGTACCCCATGCTCAGCTATAAACCTATAAACCGCTGTAACAATAAGACAGCACCAAGAATTATGACTTGAAAGAAAATTATACCAGGACAACTCCTCAGAGATTTACAGATTAATTAAAAAAAAAAATCAAGAAAATATGGTTCTGGGCCAGGCAATGGTGGCACACGCCTTTAGTCCCAGCACTTGGGAGGCAGAGGCAGGTGGATTTCTGAGTTTGAGGCCAGCCTGGTCTACAGAGTGAGTTACAGGACAGCCAGGACTACACAGAGAAACCCTGTCTCGAAAAACAAAAACAAAACAACAAAAACAACAACAACAAAAAAAGAAAATGTAGTTCTTGAGAAAAAAAAATAGAAGATCCCTAAACCTAGGTAGGCATTAAATGACATTTATTTCGAAGATTTTTGAGAAATATAGAATGGCTTCATTATCAAGGTTAAGAAAATCCAAACCTGTGCTGGGTGTGCTGGCACAGGTCTTTAATCCCAGCAATCATGACACAGGGCGGGTGGGGGGATCTCTGTGAGTTCCAGGCCAGCCTGGTCTACAAAGTGGGTTCCAGGATAGGCCCAAGAGCCAGGGTTGTTACACAGAGAAATTCTGTCTAAACAACAACAAAAAAAGAAAGAAAAAATAAGAAAGAATAAGAAAGGGCTGGAGAGATGGCTCAGCGGTTAAGAGCACTGACTGCTCTTCCAGAGGTCCTGAGTTCAATTCCCAGCAACCAGTTGGTGGCTCACAATCATCTGTAATGGGATCTGATGCCTTCTTCTGGTGTGTCCGAAGATAGCTACAGTGCACTCACATACATAAAACAAACAAACAAATAAATGAAAGACAAATATTTCTGAATTTGCCACCAAGAGAAAAAATGTATTCACATTAAGGCTGACTATATTTTGAAATAGTATTCATGGTATCACTAATTCAAAATTATGATTGATTGTACACATGCTACTAGATATTAACTATCTTTTTCTCCTCTCCCTCCTCCCTACACCTCTCTCTGACACAGGGTCTCAAATTAGCCTGGAACTTCAGATCACCTTTCAAGGACTTGAGAGTTGTATGCTACCACTACCAGTTTAATAAAAGTGCTAGGGATCAAATCTTGAGCTCAATGCACGCTAGGCTATCTAATTCCCAGCCCAGAATTAACTATTTAATTAAGGAAGGAAGGAGTGAGGGAGAGAAACAGCATGTTACCACATAACTTCATTTTACTATCTTGCTAACTATTTACTGTGTGATCGTTTCATTTACAATCCCGTTTAATTTGCTTTATACATTTAAGACTGTTCTTAAGTAAAAAGCTTGCTAAGCTTCACTATACTGTGAGACTCCAATGCTTTAATAGTTAGGTTTGCTTATTCAGCTAACAGTATTCTCTCTCAAAAAAGGTTAATTACAAAATTTCGCTAGCGTCAGGTACATGCGGAGGCTACCGAAGTCGAGTAATCAGAGAAGGCTAGCCTTTTTCAGAGCTGAGGAAGAATTCAACCTCACCCACCAAGTCACGGTTTGAAGTTACTCGCTGCGTCCCCCGCCCCCTGCTCCAGGCCGTTGTTCCCCAAGCCACTCCAGAGCCCACAGCCTGGATAACTCACGGTTCTGTGCCTCCCTCTTCCGGGACAATTCCTTCATCTATCAGCTGCCGAACTTTCTGGGGTGTCCCTTCAGGGGAACGAACGACTGCACCCCAAGTCTTTTCAATACCCGCGGCAAACACTGGCCCCTCACTGGAAGCCGCCATCTTGGTCCGTTCCGGAGTTGTGTCCCCTAGCGTGTTTAGGCTCAGGAACTTACGTTCTGCGTTAAGTCCCGCCCCCCTGGCCTATCAAAATAATGACTGCAAGTCCCACCCTTTCCTGGTTATCTAAAAGAATATAAGAGTGGTTATATTGTTTGAAACTAAATGTAGGTTATTTGCTTGTCTGATGAATTAGGATATTTAGATTAACGAAGAGTTTTCTTTTTTGATACAGAGTTTTCTATGCAGTCCTGGAATTCAAGAGATCCGCCTGCCTCTGCCTCTGCTTCTTGTATACTGGGATTAAAGTCGTGGGCCACCACAAAAAAATGGTTTTAAAGGTGATGGTCTTTCCAGATTCAATAGGGACGAAGGATTCAGTTGCAGCCTACAAATAAAAGTCATACTGATTCTCCTAAATTACATTGTTTTCCAGGTACGGAAACGGCAGTGTTTAGTTGAGAACAAATAATTTGAAGTGCTTCACGGGATTGGAAAAAGTTTATGGCTTCGATACCATCCTCCATTCTTTAGCAAATATTTATTAACTATTGCCTTGATATACAGGGGACTGTCGATAAAATAGTGAACAAAAGAGGTGATGTTGGTGCTGGGGGAATCAAACCCATAGCCTCACACAAGCTAGGAAAGCACTCTACCACTGAGCTTCATCCCCAGGCCCATCCTATCATTTAAAAATTATGACTATACATGCACCAAAGAAGGCCCACTGAGAACCTAATTTGGCTTCAGAGTCTTGAGAAAACCATTGCCACTCAAGGGTAGTGACAGGAGTATTAGAAATGCCAGGCCAGTCCTACCTACAAAGGTCAGGGTCAACCTAGGTTACATTTTAAAAGAGAGTGGGCCTGGAGAGAAGACTAAGAAGTTATGAGAGTTTGTTGTTTTTGCAGAGGACCTAGATTCAGTTCCTAGCATCTAAATGGTGGTTTATAAGTATCTCTTCTCTAGTTCTTGGGGATCCAGGACTTTCTTTCAAACTCCAAGGGCACATGGTACATATATGTACACGCAGGCAAAACGTTCATACACATTAAATAAATAAACCTAAAAAAAGTTTCTTTTAAAGGGGGAGGTGGGGAGCTAGAGAGGTGAGTCAGTGGTTAAGGGCACCATCAGCTTGCGAGCTCTGGGTTTGGTTTCTGGTACTCATGTTGGGAAGCTCATAACCATCTGTAATTCCAGTTCCAGGAATCTGATGCCCTCCTCTTGCTTTTCCAGGCAACTGCACGAACATGTGTATATACCTATGCACAGGCACACACATATACATACAAAATTAAATCTTTTTTTTTTTTAAAGAATACTTCTATATAGCAGCAGAAGGAGAGATGGGGGGTTGTGTGAACACCAGTTTTGTTGTTGTTGTTGTTGTTTGTTTGTTTGCTTGTTTTTGTTTTTCAGATAATGGTTTCTTTGTGTAGGCCTGGCTGTCCTGGAACTAGCTGGGTAGATCAGACTGGCCTTGAACTCACAGAGCTCTGCCTGCCTCTTCCTCCTAAGTGGCACCACTACCAGGTAGAAACCCAGTCTTAGTACTGAAGTGGATGAGGTCGTTGGGAAGGAACCTGTACAGGATCTTCCAAAACCTCCAGCTGAAAGACTGATGCGTAGGGACAGTGAGCAAAGAGGCCAGCAGGATCATCTCTCTTCTTTCAGCTTTTGTCCTATGGCTCCTGACTCCAACACAGTTCCCACACACTGGAACTTAAAACCTATGGATCTAGCATGTGGATACAGAAGACAGATCTCTGTATGTTTGAGGCCACCTGGTCTCCATAGTTCCAGTCCAGTCAGAGTTCTGTCATTTTCCAAAAAATGAGGAGGCAAAGGAAGAAAAAGAAGCCTCCTTACTGTAGAATTCAGTTATATGCCTTGCAGCCAAGAGCCAGAAATTTCAGCAAAAGTGAAAACAGCCTTCAGATACTGCTGGCTTTCCTGTAGACAACTTGTTTTTCTCAAACATGAATGTTTTAATAAATAAACTGCTTATGTAGAGAACATACATTAAAATGCCCTTTACAGCCAGGCAGTGGTAGTGCACACCTTTCATCTCAGCAGGTGATCTTTGAGTTTGAGACCAGCTTGGTCTACAGAGTGAGTTTCAGGATAACTAGGGCTACACAGAGAAGCCCTATCTCTAAAAACCAGGAAAAAACTACCATTTACAAAAGGAAGTCCTTTGAGAGAAAAAAAGAAACTATTTTTTTTTACTTAATTTTAATTCTTTATTTTTTTTTAACTTTATTTATTTATTTATTATAAGTACACTGTAGCTGTCTTCAGACACCCCACAAGAGGGCATCAGATCTCATTGCAGATGGTTGTGAGCCACCATGTGGTTGCTGGGATTTGAACTCATGACCTCTGGAAGAGCAGTCAGTGCTCTTAACCACTGAGCCATCTCACCAGCCCCTCTTTATTTTTTTTTAAATACTTATTCCTGTATTATTTACATTCTTCTGAGCCGGGCAGTGGTGGTGCACGCCTTTAATCCCAGTACTTGGGAGGCAGAGGCAGGTGGATTTCTGAGTTCGAGGCCTAGAGTCTAGAGTGAGTTCCAGGACAGCCAGGACTATACAGAGAAACCCTGTCTCGAAAAACCAAAACAAAAAACAAAACAACCTGTCTTCTGCCTGCATGTGTGCCTGCAGGTCAGAAGAGGGCACCAGATCTAATTAGATGGTTTTGAGTCACCCTGTGGTTGCCAGGAATTGAACTCAGGACCTGTTAACCTCTGAGCCATCTCTCCAGTCCCCTACATCCCTACATCTCTACATCTGTAACATCTTTAATTCTTAAACTTTACTTTTTAACCTCATATTCATTCTCTCTCTCTCTCTCTCTCTCTCTCTCTCTCTCTCTCTCTCTCTTTTTCTCTTTTTTTTTTTTTTTTTTCTCTCTCTTTCTCTCTCTCTCTCTTTTTCTCTCTCTCTTCCTCCTTCCTTCCCCCTCCCCTTTTCCAGACAGGATCTCACTATGTAGCCATGACTGTTTTGGAACTCACTTTGTAGACCAGGTTAGCCTCAAACTCATGGAGATTTACCTGCCTCTGCCCACCAAGGGCATATAAGGCATGCACCATTATGACTCACTCACATTTTTGTTGTTAGTGTGTGTGTTCCAGGAATCAAAATGAAGTGGCCAGGCTTGCACAGAAAGTACCTTCAGTTTCTGAGCCAGCTCACAGGACCTGCTTAATCTTTAAACCTTACCTTAATTACAGCCTTGGATCAATGGAACTTAAGAAGCCACAGAATCACATGACACCTAAGTGTGACTCAGCCGAGATGCCTGAACTCATGTCTGGGTGTTCGTGCATGGCTAGTCTTTATTTTTCCTCTAGATTTATTTATTTTACATTTATGCCCTGCTGAACGTGTGGGTGCCGAGATCAACCTCAGGTCCCTCTGCAAGAGGAGCCTTGTTTTACCACTGAGCCATCCCTTCAGCCCCATTAGTCTTTTCTTTTGCTATATATCCATTATTATTTTCTTTGGTGCGTGTGATGTAGGTATAAGTACATATTGTTTTATATATGTGTGTACGCACTCATGTATAACGACAATTTTGGAATTTTGGTTTCTTTAAAAAACAGAGAACTATTATAAGAATGTGTTTTCATTTTAATCCCAGGTGTGGGGATGTGGGGCTGCTTTGGACTGTCTGCAGCAGCTGGCTATGACTTCTCTGGTGCTCTAGCAGGGAGCATGGTTTTGCTAGCTGCAGATAGTTTCTGCAATTTCGTGGTGTTTGGAATTCTGCAAACACTTTAGAGGGTATATAGATGCCAGAGCCCTGAGAGGCGGGATCAGTGGTTGTTGATCGTTCAGTGGGATTGGTTGCCATTTGCTAGTAATCCCAGCCAAAAAAGCAAAAGGAAAGAAACTAGATTTAGGGATTTCCTAACTCCTTTTTCCCCTCTCTCTTTGTTTCTCTCCTATCTAGTGTTAGGGGGTAAAACAGAGGGAGGGTGGATAAAGGGCAGGGGCAAAAAGAAGAACCCGCAAAGTAGCAAAGACTGGTTACACTCGTGTACCTATGGCTAGGTGTGTAGGCCAGAGCTTGACGTCATCTGTCTTCTTCAGTCTCCATCTTGTTTTAGGTAAGGTCTTTCACTGGTCCTGGGGCTCACTGATGTAGCCTTAATACAACACACACACACACACACACACACACACACACACACACACACTGAGGCTAAGGAGATGTCTCTCAGTGGGTAACAGCAGCCAAGCCTGATAGCTTGAGTTCAATCCCTAGAACTCATGTGGCTCATATGTCTTGTGTACGTACATGTATGCATATATGCTTGCATGGTGTACATGTGTATATTCATATGTGTGAAGCCCAGAGGTCAACCTTGGATGTCTGTCTGTTTGTTTGTTTGTTTGTTTTTAAAATAATGTCTCTAGCCGGGCGGTGGTGGCGCACGCCTTTAATCCCAGCACTTGGGAGGCAGAGGCAGGTGGATTTCTGAGTTCTAGGCCAGCCTGGTCTACAGAGTGAGTTCCAGGACAGCCAGAGATACATAGAGAAACCCTGTCTCGAAAAAAAAAAAAATAATGTCTCTAAATGGCCTAAAATTTGGCAAATAGGTTAGGCTGGCTTGTCCGTGAGTCCCAGGAAACTACCTATTTCCATCTCTTCAGCACCAGGATTTCCAGCATGTGCCACCATGCCTGGCTTATGGGGAAGTGGAGGTTGGAGTGGGGCTCTGGCTTTTATTTAGGTGGGTTCTGAGGATCAACATCAAGTTCTTACAGTTACGAGGCAAAGCCTAAATGCCTGACTGAACATGAGAGGAGGTTAAAAGGCTCCGAGAGAGGGGATGCAGATAGATGCGTGTGCTTGTCTAGTACACACTGTCCAAATGGGGCATAGTGGTGTTTGGCAAGTGGAGGGGGGAGGATAAGAAGTTCAAGATTATTCTCTGCTACATAGGATGTTCAAGCCTCGTCTGAGCTTACCCGCCCTCTCCCCCCATAAAAAGTTCTATAGTTCATTCTGTCCTCCACAGTAGGGCTGTGTGATG